ATAAGGTTGGCCACGCAAATGCTCGGTGCGCACAGGGAACGTGCAATCCAGACGTGACGTTCCAGACAAAATACCGACTCGAATTTGTACGATTATCATTGGCTCTATTGCGAGTATATATAAATATTTATTTATCGTTCTTGTGAATAGTTTGTATCTCTTTAAAATAAATATTAAAGGAGGGACTTTCTCGATTTACGAATTTAAAAAAATCACTCAATATTTCAACGCGGGTATAATTAATGAGTTCTTATGAATAAATGATGTTACAACAGATTGTATTCGTTCTATGAAAGAAACATGCTGAATTGACGAATCTACGCGAAACTGTAGCCTTTGCTTCAAAATCAGCCGTATGCTCGTCGACAAAACCGCCATTCAGAATAGGTCGTCAGCTCTTTTTCATCCTCGGTAATACTTACCTATCTCAGATACTAAATCAAAGATTCCGCATAGATTCTTTGCGTTTATACATCAAGGTGAGAAATACATATTTGAATGATTATTCGGAATAAAATCAATAGCTAGATACTGTAATTAGGTACAAATTTACGTACTCAGGAACTGTACCGAGGTACTTTTTTTCTGGTACCTATACCTACGGGTATACCTAGGTATCATTTCTTATGTGCTGGTATCTGTGTATGTATACCTACATTTTGATTTTGGATGATACTTTCCTGCACTAAGACGTCATTTTATCGTCAAAGTACCACACCTACAGGTATACCTAGGTATCATTTCTTATGTACCGGTATCTGTGTATGTATACCTACATTTTGGTTTTGGATGATACTTTCCTGTACTAAGACGTCATTTTATCGTCAAAGTACCTACCTGTATTAGGTACTTTTAAAGTAATTGTAGCTAGGTATTGAAAATAGAACACAACACTGAATAAAATATTTCACAAGAGTGATTGATTCAAAGATTATTTGATTAAAAATCTTCAAACTATAAAATAGCCTCCCAATTAAAAAGCTATATATTAAAGTAAAATTTATTGAAAACTAAAATATAGATACGTTCTTACATTTATAATATAATTTTTAGTCGTTTGCAGGGATAAAATTATCAATGTTGAAACATTTTAAACATTTTATCGATCTTTTTCGTCCGCGATAAAATAACATTGTACAGAGTTACAGACCGGTAACATAAAGCCCGATGCTAAACTTACTCTAAGAAGCACATAGAAACGATAATGGACGCAGTGCAGTTAGTGCACGTGTGCCGCGAACAAAACGGGTTTCGCATGTTATCGCACAGTGCATCGGCTGCGTTAATGAGGGAATTTTTTAATGAAGCTTTTATATTTTTGACGTTTAAAAATAACTTCGCAAACACAAATGATGCAATATTTTCATGTTTCTTATAGTCATTCAAATTTTATTTTCAAGATGGCGATTATAGAGCTAATATGATATAATTTTTCTATTTTAAGGTGATCCTAAAGTGAAGCCTGAACTCCAAGATTGTTGTTTTACCGATAAAATGCGACACATCGGATGTCTAGGTTCAATTATAAGAACTGTTGTTTGTCCATGTAAACAGTGTGTTGTTAGTCTGTGGACCACAATTTCATAAGTACGGATTGCAACGCTTTTATGTCAAGAAAATGTTACGATATTGACAGCTCTGACGCCATATTGGCCTAAGAAACAGTATACTTTAAGAGGATGCTGGAGCCGCCTGTATTACCGATAAGACTAGCGTTTTTGACGTTTTTGTTCCTGTCGAATTTCTTCGTAGAAATTGTTTTAGGAACAAAACAACGATTTCGTTGGAATTCGGGTTTAAGGATCCTCTTAAATGCAGAATTAACAACTATGAGAATCTTGTGTTTTCAAGCGATTATTTATACATAATACCTACCTACAGTGAGTGCAAAAAGTATTCGTACAAAAAAAATATTTTTTTAAAATAACTATTTTTAAAAAGTAAATATTATCCAGCGAGAAATGAGTCATCGAATTGATATCAAACCGATATAGATACGATGATTTCAACACCAATTTGATGTCGATTCGACATTTAATTGACGATCATTTCTTGTTGAGTAATTAACAATTTATTCATAAAGAATAAAATAGACTGTATGTTTCTTAAAATTATATATACCAAAAAGATGTGTATTAATTATAGAAAATATATCATTTAAAAAATAAGCGAAAATTAAAAATTGTATCGTTTGGATGCTCAAAAAGTATTCGTACAGTCGAGAAATTTGGCTTTTAAAATTAGGAATACATGCGAAACTCGTTTGTTTATGTTAGAATAGAATATATTCATAATTCTATAAAATTGCTAATTAATGTCTATTTTCTACAAATAAGATTTTTTTATAACAAATTTCCTTGTACGAATACTTTTTGCTCTCACTGTATATTACGACGGAAAGAATAAGATTAATATTTTACGTAATTTATACATTTTAACAATTATATCATTTCATCACTTGATGAAATGAGTTATCAAGTTTTATGAATTCATAATGTGTCTAAACTCATTACAAATGTCAAAATTGACATTTGTGACATCCTTGCGTCCAATCATCATTGTCATCATTCGCATTTCATTACTAAAGAGTTTGTGAGGACGTTAACGCAAATTTGCGCGCGATATATCGGGATTTGAATAATTTCGCACAACTCGGCCCGCACGCGCGTAAAATTCATCCCATTACATCGGACACGCGCGTATCGAAGCATGACAAAAGTTCCAGACAGGGTGAACCACCCGCGCCGGTTTGTCGCCGGTTCAAACTCAATTCTCGGTAATTCCGATGCCTCTATCATTCGTCGTAAAGGGACCGCGGCAATTTAATCTGTCAATTACGCAAGCAGTGCTTAGGACGCGAGAGAAACATTCCCTGAGGACGCCCCGTCGTGACGCGTGGATCGGCCAACCCTTACGGGTCTCCTCTTCCGAGGGGTGCAGCTAGTGAAACCCTCGAAAAACAGACTGATGGAAGCCCCGTTCGTCTCGCTCGTGTTTCATCGTTCGCAGTTTATATTTCCTTTGTGTAAATCAGCTTTCCGTAAGTTTTAACCCGATAGCCTGAAAAGTTTGTTAAACGTGAGTGCATAGCTACGGAAATGCAATTGCATGTGAGAACGATAAAACAGACAGTCTCACACGTCGCGTGTCTCTTCCTAGTTGAGAAAACGAGAATTCTCGATTATGGCTGAAACTCGCGAATGCGGGCGTAGAGATACGTGACGTCATTTTTTTTTTACCTGCCACCCACGCGCTCTAAAGTTGCAATATGTAATTATATCTGCCTGTTGGATAATATCTCGTGGAAATACAATATTTTCTATGAGATGGAGATAGATGCAGACAGCGAGTAGCGATGGCGATTATTGTTTGTACTATTTATATTTTTCACTCTTGCGGTGAAGTATATATAATTAATAATAACGCAGTTAATTTATTACTTAATTATGTGCTAATAAGATAAAATATCTGTTAAGATCTAAAGGATCTATAACTTGTCATAATTTTTTAACACCTTTTATTTATGCATAATATATTAAAGTTTTCAATCGTTATTAATACTTTCAAATGTACTCAATTTTTTAGGAAGCCTTATTAAATTGAAAAATTATTGAAATAATAAATTATACTGTATTTGAATTTATTCGTATCTATTCGTATTTAGGAGGTCCGATGATAGAATAAATCGATATACGCTACTAAGAGTGGATCGTATTATTCTTATGGAGTCATTGCTCCGTTCCATGCTCGCGTATTAAATTTTCAATCGCGTACAACGCGACACGCGACATACCATCGGCGTTTATCTACCATTATAACACAGTCGTGTATGTCGCGACGATCCTCGGGTCATATCCGCTTCGAGTAACGCCTCGAGAAAACACGCACCAAGACGAACCACAATCTACTGTTTGCTAACTTTATGTTTTGTTGACCATGAATCGCGAAATCATACGAAGGCGGCACGTTCGTTACATTTCCGCCCAACGTCCTGTTTGAACACTGACTGTGGTAATTTCGATAAATGCAACCTTCCGATAGTATATTTTGTGAGCTATACTCGGTGAAAAATTAAAAGTTTCTAAGGTTTCTACATTAATCTCCTATTATCATTATGTTACTTGCACGATACAAATTAAATAAGTATTTAAAAATTTGGTGATACATATCTGTCGGTTTAAAAAGAAACACATTGATCATTGAACTCTCACGATCACTTACAAGAAATACGATGTCGAATAAAACTAAAATGTAATTGAAAATGTAATGTAATGCCGGCATATAAAATTCGAAACTTTAATACACAAATAAAGATACATTTTAATACAAATAAAAAAAATTGAATATTTAAATTAGGAACTTTTGAATTTGACATTTCGCTTCGCTCTTCTCCATTCTTACCTTTCATCTCTTTCTGTTCACCCCATCGAATTTGGGTACATCAAAAAATCGCATACTATTTACCTTTAAAAATGGAAAAAAAGAGATCTCAATCTTTCGCGTGCAATCAAAGCAAAGGATTGTCATAAAAAAGCGTTTCCACCCTTCGCCCTTCGTGGAGGGGGGGAGGGGACTGCTCCGCGCCCTTTTGGGGCCCTTCCGGTCCCTGCTCATTACCCTCCGTGTGTCCGCACGTGCAGCATGCATGTGCAACGAACTACGCGCCGGTGGATTCTCTCCTCAGCCTCCCCCCCCCCCCCCTCTCTCTCTCTCTCTCTCTCTCTTCTGTTCCTCTCCTCTCTCTGGTTCGCTGAGCGTATTGATTGAGGTGAATGCACGATGCTCGGCGTCGGCGTCGTCGGCTCTCCTGGTCCGCGGACGGGGGTGGAAGTAAGTACATACGGCACTGCCGGGGTACTCGCGGTGGAAAGTGGCGAGTCGCGAGAGCTCTCGTTGGGAAGGGAGAGAAGAAAGACAGAGAAGGAGAGACAGGAAAAAGGAGAGGGACAGAGACGGGCACGAGGCACCGGTGGAGGAGGCGTTATATACTGGCTGGATCCTGGTTCGACCGTCAGTTTCTCGCCCGCACTCGCAGCACCGACACCGCGAGCACTCGCAAACACTCGCATCTGTCAGAGATCGCGATCATCTCTGGAGCCGTGGAAGAAGTTTTAAGACGAAAAGATCCATCTGTTCGGATTCGCTTTATTTGCGTTTGGATTTTTGTCTGTACTTTAGAAGAGACATAACCCCTAACGGGAAGGCCTGGCTGCTTCGGGGTCGCGCAGAGGCACCTTGTTCGTGGAACTGTCCTAGGTCGGGTTAGCTCCTGGGGAATTGCCATGGCCACCTACGCGACGTACAGACACGTCGAGCTTGACAATGTTGGATACGGGAAGAAAAGGTAACGATGAAATAGCTGTGAAATAGCTGTGAGAGAGAGAGAGAGAGGGGGGGGGGCGTATCGCATTGCGGACTTCCCATGGGCGACATTTCCGGTTGAACTGCGCATTGAATTATCCTTTTATATTTTGCCCTTTTTATAATAATACTTGTTTCATGTCGTGGTTGATTTTCCCGTTTCATATTCGCAAACGAGAGGAGTGCCGAGTGAACCAATCAATAGCTTGTCGTATTTGACTTGGGGTAGGTGCACCCAACATATGACAGTTAGACTTGACAGGCCTATTTCTGCGTGTGTAAAGTATAGTTTCAATTTTTATCCGTGGCAATCTTTTTCTATTAATTATAGAGGCATTATGCGGACTGTGGACTTGATATTTCCGTGCATTTTGTTAGTAATCGTTAAACATTATTTATTTCTTTATAAGCGTTGACAGTTCTCCAAAGTGCGCGCGTGCTGAAATAGCAGTAAAGATTTCTTAACGTGCATCGCATTTTTTCCCTCTTATCTCTACCGATTGCGTAAGATTTAGAATTGAGCTTTGTTAATTGCGAAAGACAGATGGATGGATATTGCGAATCATAGATAAGATATAGGTGTTGCTTCCGAGCGCAAGACGGGAGGCAGTTTACGGACGGGCGCATTTTAACCGATTATTTATAAGTTCGTGGAAGTGCGAGGATAGCGGAATGTGCGGTTGTTCCGTCTATCGTGACAGGTCTGATCGATTTACATTCAGCCGGCCATCTCCAGCGATGCGAGCGAGATGCTGCGCCCCGTTAACTATATGCATATTCGTTGACATTGCGCAAATAGTAAGACTAGTAAGACGTCTACAAGATGAATCGCGAATAGCTTAAGTAGAGTCGAATCGATTGCGAAGGATCCCCGTAGTCTTCTCGTCTACCACGTCATTTGTGGAGCAAAAGAAATATCCAGTTTTAATCATTGTATTAACTAAAAAGAAACGGATGTTTCGACGATCACCTCATTGCAACAAGTTTAGTTGTTAATTAATAATCAACTTTATCTTGATATTCCTTTACCTTGGTATTCCTTGCAACGCGTAATAAGCGTTTATCAGGATACCTTTCGCAGGAAATGTCACTTCCTCCGAAGGATACTGATATCGAAGCGAATACGATGCGGTTGTAAATAGTATAGTAATAAGGGAAAAAGAGATATCGTTTCCAGATTTTTTATTCTACGAATTTTTATTGACCAAAGAATATGCAAGCGTTTTTTAAAATGTTCTACACTGAAAAAAAAAGATTGGTTGCTATAGCAAATTAGATGGTAAAATATGGCAATCATTTTTAATTGATTGCAGCAGCCAATTTTTGATTGTGTTAGCTTATCGAAATCCTATACTGATATTGCGGATAGACTAACGCAACCAAAAATTGGCTGCTGCAGCCAATTAAGAATGCTATGCCATATTTTATCATCTAATTTGCTGCAGCAGCCAATCTTTTTTTTCAGTATACGTTTATTTATATTTTAAATCTATGTTTATTTCCTGAATGTGTAGTCCCATGACCCAGTATTACGAAAAAATCTGAATTTTCTAGAAATTTTAATACTTTTTTAATTTACTATCTCTTCGACGGTGATTAAAGCAACAAGATGATGTTTACGCTATCATTAGTTAAAAAAATCTATCTAAGAAAAGATAATAAAGAAGGATCAATAGAAGCGAGATTTAGAAAGCGTGACTGTTCCTTAGCGTGCCTTATCAAGTTTGTTGTATAAACGCGAGAAGGATAGCAATCTTAGATTCATTTTTCTCGGTCTTTTTTATTGACTATCCATGCGAAAATTAATCAATCGATAAATTTTGAGCGAATTTTTTCTCACTGCGAAATGAGTATTTCATGTAATTTAAAAAATGTACGAAGCAGAGATAACAACCTATGCTTTTTGCTCGAAAATCACAAAATTTCAAGGTACGTTAATACATTGTAATTAAAACGTTACAGTTAGTAAATGTCTTGTTTGCGGTGTTTTGCTGCTTTCCATGGCTGAGGAGATGTTCGTAGCTGAATCTAATATCTCAGTTATGATAAATTACACGTTATTTCGATATACCTACGCGCGGACGAGTTAATCCGCACCGACGTGGCGCATAATTGACTACAGATTCCCCGGTACTAATTGACGAGAGCAGCTCCTCGTGGATGTTCGTTGACCCTGCGGCTGCAACGCACCGTAAGTTAGTTTGAAGGAGAATCCTTGCGAACGTAGAGAACACGCCGGCCAAAAGATGCAATTGAGCTTCGTTAGAATCCTCGTCCTCGCGTAATTGACGTGTTATCCTACGCACGAGCGAAGGTAATTACGTGGATATCACAACGTTTAATTACTGATGTCCGTTATGATTTTCTTCTTCATGCCTGGTGAATGAGCATTCTCTCTCTTTCTTTTAAAATATTCTTACAGAAATTTCCGTTGACGTTCGCGTATTAATCCTACAAAGGTAATCGCCGCTTTGTATTTGTTCCACGACGAAAAACCACTAGTGTGTCGCGGAATTCACGACTCACGAGCCAAGTTAATAGTAATTTTGTGCCGAGTGTTGATTAATTGCGGCTCTCTGATCGGCGGACAAGATTAGACGAGACTTTATACCGGGTTAATGGCTGGTGTATTCTGAATGGGAATTCCGCGGTATATCGCACTGCCATTCAAACGTATTCTCTATTTCATACAAGATACGTAAATGTTATACAATTAGATCGATGGGTAACTAATGACAGAGTTGAAAATTAAATAATTAACAAATTAATACTTTAGATTAGGAAAAAATAAATAATAATACACGTGTATACGTAGCTTCAAAAAAATATCTATATTTTAACATTTATTATTCCATTGAAAAAAGAGTTTCGTTGATTTAACTGGAAATATGATAAATTCAATTAGTATCTCTGTTTAAAAACGAACGAATCAGAATTCTTGTTTATTATAGCATTATCGGATGAAAGTACGATTAATTCCTTTCTATTAAATCTAACAGAATTTCTTGTAGATGGAATAAATTTTTCTCGTTAAATATACCAAAAGTTCTTGTTAATCGAATAATGCCTTCCTGATAAATCTACCAAAATTTCTCATTGATCAAATACATTTTTCTAGTGAATTGTACCTGCAGTCTAGTGCAGAAACGGAAAACAGATCATAAGGAGCGCTGAGGTTAACATTAACCAGAATTCTGGTAATGTTGCGTATATCTAATGAGTGTAACTAAAAGTTATAAGGTGTAGCCACAATAGAAGGAACCATTACAGATCCAACATGAAAGTATTAAACAAATCCTTATAGCACGACCTATCAACCGTTCTAGTTGCGAAATCTCAAGTTTTGTCATAGTAACCAGAAATTCTGCTTGGTTTAACCAAAATGCGTTTAATCATAAAGCCTGTTCTTTTTAGATGAACTTCTTACACGGTTCATCTTTTCTCTTTTCCTCTCCAACGTGAAGAGAAAAGAAAGAAAGACAAACCGTGCAAGAACTTTAGCTAAAAAGAACAGACCTATATACGTCTTGTTGATACAAACTCTTTTTCTCAATGTAGCTAAAATATCAAATACGAAAAAAATCTTCAATGCGATGTTTTGAAAAGAAGGTATTACTGAAGGTTCCGAGAAAGCTGCGCATAAAATAACCAAGAATTCAATTTTACAAAAGGTTTTAATATCCGGGGATCAGAGTGTGCGAATGAGCAGTGAGATCTCCAAGTGCGTGTTTGAATACCGATTTCTCTCAATGACAGCGAATTATGTTCTTGCGCGTGCACCTGCGTTCGAGTCGAACTCAAGTAAGACTCGCGTTACGAGCATGCGATTCCATCAGTCGCGATCGAGATGGTATCGCATGCTTCGATGGCTATCAGCCGGTCAAGAGGCTGATGAACATGGTGCGTACTCCTGTTCCATCGAGATGCTCCCGTTACAATGCTTTCTCTATGGAAGCTCGATACAGTGGCGGCTTTGTTCCTCGGGTGATAAACAGTGATCCCTGGCATTCCGATCACGAAGCTTCTTTGTAACCTATTCGACGCATATATAGGATATTTGAAAAAATTGCTAATCGCGAGATATGTTCCGTCACGTGGTGTTAAATAGCGCGCAGTCGATCTCAATTTTTAAGTAGAAGACAATTTTTCATCAACCTTCTTCGTTTTGCATTTAAATGCTTTCAAATTTCCGTGATGCGGCAAGAATTTTATTCTACTTCAGAATATAGAGTAGAATAATGGGGCGTAACTTTGACCTACTGTATGTGAAATCATTAACGAGTCGTGGCATAAGCCAGGAATAAAGTCGCTGTTGTTATATCTCAGAGAGAGAGATTTAAATAATCACTTTAATTCATAAGAATTTAAGCGCAATTGCGTAAAAATTAAAAATCCCGTGTCCTCGTTCTGGAAAAGGAATTATTTTGTTCTTTTATGTGGGAGAAGCGTAATCGCATGTGACTATTGGGCGTGTGTGGTAGGAAAAAGTCGTGCGACGACGACAAAGCATTAGTGCAATTAATCCGGTAATTCACATCGTTTAGGACGACCTAGGAACCAAACAGGGAACCAATGTCAATTTCATTGGAGAGGATGCCTTAAACGGAACGGGGTCTAATTAATATAATTATCAATCAATTATTAGGCTGCTTAACGAACCCTTCTCTAACGAGAGTAATGAGCCGTGCTCACTGATTGTCGTGTGGGTTGGACTTTTTGATCGCATCCTCCACCTATTTTCTATATCTTACGTCTGTCTTTATTTCCAAAATTATCACGATTATTAATCTGATTAATTTAATGACTATAGTAAATTATTTACAGTGTTTCAGTACACTTACATCAATTATAACACTAAAAAGAATTGATAAGAATCGTGGATATTCAAAGATATCGCTAACATTATTCAGAATATTTAAAAAAAAACTTGGAAAATTCAAAGAGAAGTTCTCAGAAAAATATTTATACTCGGAAATTCATACT